GCTTACCTGAAGCCCTTGTTTCAGGCGACGAAGGAGTGTTTTGAGATCAGTGAGCGTGTGGAAGCACTGGATAATAAACTGGACGCCGCGAATGAGATTCTCTCCATGCTGGCTGAGGAGTTCTCCCAGCGTCATGGGGCCCGACTTGAGTGGATCGTTATTTGGCTTGTACTTGCAGAGGTTCTCATTGGTATTCTGGAGTTGCTGATTGACCTAAAGCCATGGTTCTATCGAAGGCTGTAGGATCTTGACCGTGTAATGAAGATGGAGGAAAGAACACGGAAAAAGCGGTAAAAACAGTGGAATTTGTTTTTGTTTTGTTGTGTTCTTGTTTGTTTGTTTGTTTTTTTGCCGCGATTTGCAACTTACCTTTTATTAAGCTTCTTGCGTTGGCTTCCGTGCGGGGAGAAGTGTATGTACGTGTGCGGAGGAGTAGGGCGGGGAAGAGGCAACTCCCCTCCCCTACACACAGAGAGACACATGCATGTATTTATGCGGTATATTTGTGTGTGTGTGTGTGTTCCATAGGAACGGGGCGGTGGAGAAGGAGGGGGGAAAACCCCCCTAAAGAAATGAGAAATGAGAGAACAGAAGTGGAGGAAATAACGGGGGGAATTCGGGCACGACGTCAAAAGGACGCGGCATCACAAAAGGGGGATAGAGAAAGAAAGAGAAAAGGAAAGGGAGAAGAAGACACACACAAACACAAATAAAAAAAAAGTAGTGAACAAACAGCAAGAAGGAGATGAGGCTGAGAGAGCGAAAGAAAAAAAAAAAAAAAAAAAAAAACCAAGGCGGTGGGGAGTGGAGGGTTTCCGGCCCAAACTTTTCTCCTCTCCCTCTCTTTTTTATTTTCTTTCTTTTCCTTTTTTCTTTTGTGTGTGTGTGTGTGTGTTCCACGCTGGGGAATGCGTCGTTGATGTGTTTTATTTTTCTGTTTTTTCTTTTTTTTTTTTCTTTTCCCCCCAAAGCAGTAAAAATAAAATAAAATAAAAATGACTTTCCACCCCTCCCCGTCCCCAACACGACGGCGTTTGTTTTTTTGTTTTTTTTTGGTATGAAACGGCAGGCCTGTTTGTGTGGAGGGGGGAGGGGGTTTGTTTGTCTGCAGGCTTTGCGTGATGTTTGCTGTTTATTTTCGAGTGGGGAGGGGCTCCTTCGCTGCTCCAAGTGTGCCGGTTATGCGTCGGCGTCATGTGGACACGTGGCGGGGGCGGTAACGGCGTGCATGAGAATTCCCTTTTTGTATTATTGTGTATTGCATGTTGTTTTTGTTTTCTCCCTCTTTTTTTCCACGGCACAGCGGGTGTCCCGGGCTGCTGGCAGGCTGACGGCGGCGGCCAAGTCGGATACGGAACGAAAAAGAAAAGAAGAAAAGAAGAAGAAGGGTGGGTGGGTACGGACTGTGGACCAGTCGATTGGACCGAGTCGACCAAAGTCGTCCACGCAACAAACACGCAGGCGCAGAGAACGTAAAAAAAAAAAAAAAAATCCCCTTCTTTACGCCTTCAGCAAACAAAAGACAGAAGGAAGAGGAAAAAAGGGAAAAAGGAAAATGATTATACCCGTCCGCTGCTTCACTTGCGGCAATGTTATTGCTGACAAGTACCTGCTGTACCTTGACCTTGTGGCGGAGGGCGTGTCGGAGGAGGCTGCGTTGGATGCGTTCAACCTACAGCGCTTTTGCTGCCGCCGCATGTTTCTCACACATGTGGACTTTTCGGACCTTCTGCTGAAGTTTAACCCTGCCGACACAAACGCGGCGATTTACCCGGCCGGCGTTCATTAAAGAAAAGATCTCTCTCTCTCTCTCTCTCTCTCTCTCTCTCTCTCTCTTCTTTTTTTTTTTTTTTTTCCTCGTGACACTGCGCGTATTTCCGTATTTGTTGCATTGAGGACCGTCCAAAGCACGAGTATATGAAGGAAGGACGAATACCGGGAGAAAAAAGAAAGCACAACTGAAATGTGGATTTAAAGAAGTTTTATTTTATTTTATTTTTCTGTGTGTCTGTGTGTCTTTGTGTTTACATGTGCCGCCTTTCTTCCTTGTCTTTTTTAAGTATTTAGTTATTTGTTTTTGTCGTCTGCTGTTGGTGCAGCGACGCAAGAGATTGTGTGGTTGTGCCGTTTGGCTTTGATTTTCCGGTCGGCCAGAGGCAACGAGGGGTGCGTGTTGCGTTCGCATCTTCTTCAGGCGTAAAGCGAAGGAATTGCCGAGTATCAAATAGAGAGGAAGCGAGGACTTGGCGCAGGGAAGTACCGCCATCTCACATTTCCCCCCCACTTCACGCGTCTCTGTCTGTGGAGCCCATTTTGTTTTTGTTCGCCACCGCCTCAGAACACGCGTGAAAGGGGCAGAAGACGGAGCCCCACCCACCCCGCACTGAATAACACATACGCGCAGACAGAGAGACAGAGAGAAAAAAGAAAAAAAAATGTCTTTGGCAGCCGCTACTTTTCCCCCGACGCGTGCGCGAGTGGACCGCCGACGCAAAGTGGGACTTGCAAACGCAGTGGCGCAGGGCCGGCCGCTTTATCGCGTGGGAATCATCAGCGAGAGTGAAATCGCCGACATACGACGCCTTGCGAACGCCGATGAGGGAGCATTTGATGCCTACAGACGAGAGGAGGACGCGCGTCGGCGGGAGGCTTCCAAGGCACGCACGGACTTATGGCCGGACACAATGCAGGCGAAACAGGAGGCATTTTTGCGCCGGCGAAAAGATGATAAGGCGGAGGAGGAGCGTCGTGCGAACATCATCCTCGAGTTGGATGCGCAGCAGCAGGAAGAGGAACGGCGGCAGCGGCAGGCGCAGCTCGCCTTGAAGTACTTGAAGGAAGACCCCCGTGGTCGTAATGTGCGGAGCCTGTTGATGCTGGACGAGGCGATAAAGGACCGTGAGGCACAGATAGCCTTTAAGAAGGAGGTCAAGCGTCAGGAGGCGGAGAACGAAAAAGAGAAGCAAGAGTTGTTACAGCGGGAACAGGGTGAAAAACGCCTAACCGAGGAGCAGGAGAAGCTCGCCCGACGATCTCGCAATGTGGAGGAGAAAAAATCGCATCTGCAGCAGATGCTCTTTCAGATTGCAGAACGAAAGAGGATGAAGGCAGAAAAGAAGGAAATGCTCACTGAGGTGAATCGCGGGGCAGAGGAGGAGAAGCAAGAAAATCAGGAGGAGTTAATGATGCAAAAAGAAAAGATGGTTGCAGTGCATGCGTACAACCGTAGTATTGCCAAGCCGCCGCTTAGCAAACATGATAGACTCAGGCGGCGTATTCAGCAAGAGGAGGGCGATGACGCCGCACGCGAGCTTCAGGAGAAGAAGATCGAGGCCATGAAGCGAGTCCCGATGGAACGGCTGAAGAAGAAGCAGGAATTGTTTGAGAACCGCAAGGAGCAATCTTGGCGTATGTTTGAGGAGGAGAACAAGGCAATGCGGCACAAGGAACGCACTCAGGATGTATTTGAACAGCGCGGCACGAGTATCATTGACAGCATGGCTGCTGGGGAGGAACGTCGAAAGCAGGAGGCGTTGGAGGAGCGCCGCCGCCGCCAGGAGGAGTTTTTGCGCGTGACGAATGGCGAGGTGGAGGAGCCGCCGGAGGGAGTGCGACGGGCAGCGACCCACCGCGCCGG